CCTCAAAGGCAGGAGGCATTGTAAATCGACAAGTGGTCGGGGTCAGTTTGCCTATTACGGGGACTAATTATGCCCCTTAGCAGGCGCTGCGACTGGCGCCGCTGCTACTGGCGCCTTTTTCAACGAAGAACGCCGTTATAACGCCTAACCATCGTAAGACATGACTCAGACTCAGACGCCCGCCGTAACCACCAGGGTAGTCACACATCGCCGGTGGTACCCTTATCCCTTCTTTTATGACGTACAACCTACATGAAGCGTTGCTGCTATACCGCTTCCGCACGTGCACCGTGATACGTGCAGCCCTATCTATCGTAGCGGCTGTTGGCATGATGCCTGCGGGATGTCCAAAAATGCTCGTCCAATCTTGTGCAGAGCAAAGGCTTTCCTCGCAGGTTTTTGACTATCTAACTTTCCTTTTTCGTTCTTTCGAACTATACAGCCCCGCTGCTTGTATTTTCAAACAGTAGTGATATATCGTGCCTTATGCCTTCAAATCAGGGCACAGCGTTTGATGGGGATTCCGAGTATAAACCACAACCACAGTCAGCCATGTCAGCCATCGTACGAGCATGGGGGGGGGTCGTAAAAGCTCGACCAAAATCCCCATCGAATGCTGTGCCCTGCTTCAAATCATTCAGTTACCAGTGCGGATGCTGTGCATCCTCCTAACAGTACTGCTCTCCCCGCTCTGCCGCAATCTACATGTTCTCGCACTAATTTGAATCTGACAAGCCGAAGACAACAAACATTGTAAACCTCGTGAGATCAGGAAGGCAGGCGGTATACAGTACAACCGAAAATTGCTCGTGAAGTTAAATGTGTCGGCCCCGAGAATGCATACGCTCAATCTTACGCACAGTTTTGGGTACTGCATCCTGCCTCTTTTCCTAAACTTGCAATTGAACCAATAGAAGTATCAGACTCTTGAAGGCTGAGCCCGCATTCAACTTTGATAGTTGTGCGGCTCAAATACTTATAACAAGGTAGCAAGTAACCCCTTAGTGAAGAAAAATCAGAAAAGAAATCATAGGAAAGGCTCTATATAGAACCCCTTGCTTAATTGAGGTTGTACGTGCTCAAGGCGAAGTGCGGTCGCACGAGTTCTCACTTGTTGATATCAGCTGTTTTCCCTTATCACCTCACTCTCACACTCGACGTGGAGAGAAGCAGCAGCGAAACAACCGCACCATCAGATAACCATTAGGAATGAGTGGAGGGCGGTGCCAATGATTGTAGGTTGGGCCAATGAGAAGAACGACGGCATCGTGGCCTCCTCACTCGTTTTTGCGCCGCGAAAGTGGTGTAGTTGTTGCCTCTGCGGACCTGACTACCTGCTCACGAAGGGAGAGGAAAATCTCAACTGAACGCGGACGCTGCCTCTAATGGTAAGTATTCGTCAAAGTGTTAGGTGTCTCTATGTAATGTGAGCCAATGTTCTAAGGGCTTGTGCACACTGTGAGATTTTTCATTTGTGTAATGCAGAATTATTAAGACATTAAGATCAATGTTTATTTTGTACTGTGAAAGAAGTCGACTAGTATAAACGAAACAAAGATAAGTAGTAATTTTAGTAAGTGTCCCATCTATTTTCGCCTGTTTTCTTCTTCTTGTCTTCACCAAAAACATCAGCATTGATGCCAGCCAACGTCTAAAAACGCATAAAGCAATTGGTCAACCAAATTTACAAGAAGGGTAGCAATTTTTTAATTACCTGATAATTAGGGTCGTTTGTAGCGACGACCTTTATGTTGAGCTGGTTTCTGAGCTTTCTGTTGTTTGCCTCCACCACCTCCTCCTCCGCCCTGTAAAAAAATCGATTCTGACAATACAGTTCCTACTGTAGTTTCACACTGAATCCTAGCTAACCTTCGGTTTGAACACATCCTCGTTTCTCAGTCCTGCCAGTGTTTGGTAGTTGGGATCGAAGGTGGCCACCTTCTTTCCTTTGTTTTCAGGTGCCCTTATTTTTACGTCGCCTCCGCTGCGACCCCCATCCTAGAAGATTTTAGGCACTATTCAACTATTACTACCCCAAAAAGTCGAAAAATTTTCTCGCTGAACTTTGCCCACAAAGGTATTCGGTGTCCTGATCACGAATATAGCACTCGTTTTGGCGCTGGCGCCAAATTGGCGCCAGTTTGGCGCCGCCACCTTTCTCACCAAATTCGGTGTAAATTTGCATGGTAGGGTTATTTGATGTCCTGATCACGAACACCGAATTAGTTTTCGCCCCCCCCTTAGGCGCTTTTATTATTATTTACATTTACTTATTACTGACATTTATTTTTCGACGCCAGCGCCATTTAGCGCTTTTCTAAGGCTGAGCCTGGGAGAAAGAGTGATTTCCTTCAGGTCAGGCTCAGCCTTAGCAGAGCGCAGATGATCGCAGCGTCTTCCATCAGCGCCAGCGCCAAAAATGAATGTGATATTTGTAATCAAGATGTCAAATAACCTCCGTATACAAGTTTTCAGCGGATTTGGTGACCTAGGGTATTTTGGCGCCGGCGCCTGTGGCGCGGGCGCCAGGCGGTTTCAGGCCGAGCGGATGTGATATTCGTGTTCAGGAGGTCAAACTACCCCTGGGTACAAGTTTTCAGCGGATTTGGTGATTTAGGGTACTTTGGCGCCGGCGCCTGTGGCGCGGGCGCCAGGCACTTTCAGGCCAAGTGGATGTGATATTCGTGTTCTTTCAGTCAAATCTGCTCCCGTAGAAAAAAAGTCTATTAAGATCCGGCGATTTTCGGAAAATTGGGGTAGTAATAGTTGAATAACGCCAAATTTTTTTTCAGAAACGTGCCGTAAGAGGGATTGAAAATGATACCTTCGACTTGAAGATATCTTCATTGTTTAGTCCAGCCAATGTTTGATAGTTCGGATCAAACGTTGCCACTTTCTTTCCTTTAGCATCTGTTGGCGCTCTAATATTCAATTTGTCTTCAGCTGTACCCCCAGGAGTGCCGCCACCTCCCTGAAATTCACACCATACAGGAAGTAGCGGAAAAAGGTTGAAAGAAGCTTAGGAAAGGCCATGAGCGCAAACGTAGCTTCCTATGGGGTCAGCGAAATCCCCTTGAATGGAAGTTGCGCTAATGCTTCGTGAGTAGGGCACTTCTTTACGGGGAAATGGCCTTCCATGCGAGAAGGACATTTCTCGACAGCTTTATTCTACTATTGCTCCATGATCAGCTGTCACTTGCAGAAGAGTATGGGGAGTTACGTACGACTCGCATCGAAACAGGCGTCGCAGTGACGTACGCATCATTCGAACCAGGACTCAACCCGAGGTGTATGTCGTTTAGCGCATCTACGTGCCGAAAATGTGCCGGAACATTTTCGGACGAGTTGCTCACAGGGAGGAACTCGTCCAAGAATTTTTATATCCAAAACTGATCAATGGGAATCCTTGCGATAAATAGGAATAGTAGACACGGCAGAATGCACCCCCCATACTATGAGTCGTGTCAATTGAGAAAATCCCAACGGTCGGCTCTTTCGAGATTGTCCATCTTTGCGAAATGTGTCATTACTTGTCATTACACGTCAGTTTCAAACGTGATCGCGCCAAATGACCGCCTCTCCTCAACCCGATCATCGTAATTGCGCGTCGACTTGCACTCGAAATACCTGAGATGTGGTAGGCGTGGCTGCGTACTTCAGCTAAACGTGGCGGTGGTTGTGCTTCTGGTTAGATATTTTCATTTTGACAGAATTATCGTGTTACGTCCAATACAGAACAGAATGACATTCTGTGTCATGCTCAAATGCCACGCCTACTACATCTCAGGGATAAGGAGTGTATCTCCCAAGTGAACTCGTGCTATGATGCCGGGACAGGCAACTAACGCTCCACACCCCTGAAAAGGGTCACGCATGCAGATCTCCCCATTACCCCAGAGGAATTCACCTATTTCAACTGAAATATTGTTACCTACCTTTGGTTTGATAGGGGCGTCGTCGTTATTCAGACCAGCCAGCGTCTGATAATTGGGATCAAATGTTGCCACTCTCTTTCCCCTCGCATCAGTTGGCGCTCTGATGTTCATCTTAGCGCCGCCGCCACCGCCATCCTGAAATATCAATTCAGAAAGGTACTAGGAAGTTTCGAAAATAAAGAACCTCGAAAATCACATTTTTGGGGGTTTTTAGGTCATCTCATGCAAGAAACTCAGCAATTCAGTAAATACCTTTGGCTTGAAGACATCTTCATTGTTTAGTCCAGCCAAGGTCTGGTAGTTGGGATCAAATGTTGCCACTTTTCTTCCTTCTGCCGGTGGTCTGATATTCAATTTACCACCACCGCTACCAAAAGCTAGTCCGGAACCGCCCTATAAAAGTATCCGAACTCTCAGAAATACATGGCGAACACTTTTTTTATGGTGGCGCTATGTGTCTCAGAAGGGTTACTCTTTGGCGGAGATGATGATTGCAAGTCTGTGGTAACAGGCGGTATGTAGTATCCAAAAACGCTCGTAAAATTGAGTGTGTAGGACCTGCGAGTGCCCACAGCATCCCCCACCACAGTCTTGACACATTCAAGTTCACGCCCATTTCTTGGAACTATTGCATACCACCTGTCTCCCTAAACGTATTTTTTTGTTCAGTGGGGCTGAGCCATTTCACGTCTGCTCGCCTGCGTCCTCTCACCGAGACATCTATTGACGTGGCTTGGTCATCGTCAGAGCAGATCACTCTTCACTCCATCCGCTTCTCAAAAAAGCATGGCGTAGCTTCATCGACGTGACTAACCATGAGACGTGGCTAAGTTCCGCTGAAGACGGCTGTGGAGCGTTACGTCCGTTTCGCGGCACTGCGAGCACTACTTTCTTGGCTAGTTGACTGGAGAGACACAGAAAAAAGCAGAGTGTTTCAAGAGGCGCAGGCAGAAAAAGGGAGCCGACGCACAGCAGCACTGCTCTTTGAGTGGAATGGGTACTGATGCGAATGATGGGTGAGCCACCTCACCTGTGACACCTATTTTATGCACTCTTTGCGTCTTGGGAGTAACGCTCCATACCCGCAAGTGATTGACCCCTTCTGGGAAACATAGCGCAAGTGTATTTTTGCAAGTTCCATAAGAGTCTTCGTTTCCTACTGTGCCCTTCCTTGAACGACTGAAGGAGTACCTTCGGTTTGAAACATCTTCATTATTCAATCCAGCTAAAGTCTGGTAATTTGGATCAAATGTTGCCACCTTTCGTCCTTCTGCTGGTGGCCTGATGTTCAGCTTACCAGCGCTACCACCCTGAAAGTATAGGAACGATTTTAGCTTTCTGCGCTGTGATTCAAAGGTGCGCTCCACGCTTGTCATGTAGGCGGAGACCTGCCTGCTACTGCGCCTTCCACATTGCTGTAACTCCTTGGGTTTCTTGCGACCTCTACTTAAGGTCTCAGGAACAAAGGAAGGGAGCGCTCTAATGAAGACGACATGATGATAAACTTGCTTCCGCCCTTATCTTGAAGTGTGCCTTTAATGAGGTATCGCCCTTATAGTTAAAGGGAAAGCTCGCGATCATTCGCCATCACAGATAGTGGATTAGAGGGTTGCATATAGACGACAATGTGCTGACTAACTCGATAGTGAAGAAATAGCAGAGAAAAACATGCCAACTGCCCAGATAAACCCCATTCCGATCCCTGTTTGTACGCGCCCATTTGACTCCATCTCCAACACTACGTCCCATCCGAACTGCTGATTCTCCTGAACCCCACAACCTGTACAGGTGACGATTTCGTCCTGCAGCTTCGTTTTCACTGAAAGGCGAGCTTGAAGGCGGAGTCTGGAGGCGGAGTCACTGGAAAAAGGAGGCGTTACTGAACCTATATTGCGCTATAGCGCCCCTCCCTTACAATTTTTTTGCCGAAAACCGGTACAAGGTTGGTCGTAGTGGAACAAACTACCCAACCGACGCCATATTTTCCTCCCAACCTGATCCTCTGATACTCTCAGTTTCAAGTAGCCCGTTGTTCTACTATAGGGAAACTGAATACTAAGTGGTTTGGCTATAGAAGCTTTCAGGGTATCAAAGACCCTTTCTCTTAGTGTGCAATATATGAGTAGGGCGCACTTCGGCTCGGGGAGGAGGGGGAGCATTTCGCACTTTTGCTATTTCCGTCGTCGTGTCGAGCCATCAAGTGGAAGATCTGCGAAATCTTGTGATGCCTCGAAGTGACACCATTCAAAGTTCGTGAAAACTATTTGTCGACTCTTCTTAAGAGTACCTTTCAGCTTCCCGCAAGGGAATGAACACGACGACAGGAAGTAGCGAAACAAATGCCACCCTCCTCCCCCAACCCCCAAACCGAACTGCGCCTTTAAGGCGCTTGTCATGTGAATGTGCTACTGCAAGAAGTAGATTCCGATCTGATCGGATTCAAAAACCGATATCTGAGTGCTTTACTTCTGGCTGTATTTCTTACCTTTGGCTGGAAAACTTCGTCATTATTAAGCCCAGCAAGTGTCTGATAGTTTGGATCAAATGTAGCCCGCATTCCTGCCTCTTTTGGTGCACGAATGACAGGCATTCCAGCTGGCTAAATAAATAGGATAACTAACTGGCGTGATATATTATTCAACGCCCAGATTTCGCGATGACGCCCGTCAACGTGCTGTAACGCGCTGCAGTTGCACCAGCGCTTCAAGGCTATAGACTCGAACGCAGTCGTGGATGGAAATCGATTGGCGCCAGCCGCTCGTGTATTGGGAGAATTCTGGGGAACAGGAGGGTAGACGTTGCCTTGCAGTCTGGTATCGATCGAACTTGTCGCTAAGGCTTTGGGAGAGCATAGAAGAGTGGGAGCGTTGTGAAAGCTGAGGCTGTCCTCCCATTATCCTATACTCATTACAAACATAAGCTTGCGAAGCCAATCGATTCCCGTCTGAAGCCGCGCCCACGTTTATGGGATTGAAGAGCTGTTGCAATAGCGTCAACGCGTGTCACAGCGCTCTACAGCGCGTCATCGCGAGTTTTGAACGTT